GAAGAAGCAGAACAGAAATCGTACTGCCACGTGCTTGGCACGTCCTGGTGCTGTGCTGTCGGCTCGGCCTGCGTCTGTGCACTGGGAGGCAACACCCCCTTGCTGAAGGGCACCCAGCCCCTGCTGGTGGCACTGGGATTTGAACCTATGTCGGGTGGACTCTGGGCTCGGTACTCTTCACCACTACACCAGCACTGCCTCCATTGGGTGTCCAAATCTGCCTGTAGCTTTTCCCTTTTCCCATACTAGAGGGACGGTGACCTGTGCGGGTCACTGAGCTAGTAAGTGGCAGACAGGTTGAGTCCCGGGCATCTCAGGGTGGACCCCAGATTCCTGGTTGAGTGATCTCACTCTGCGTACCTGATGGTAAAGATGATCCATCAGGGCAACTTTTAGATGAGGATGGTAACCTCCAGAGGACACGTGGACCGACCTGCTCATGAATTCTAGCTCGCTTCTGTCAACTTCGTCTCGGAGGGCCTCAGTTTCCTGTTCTGTTAACTGAAAGGGATTGTTCCTGCCTAAAAAGGTTGCTGAGAGGATTAGGCAAGGTGACATACGTGAAGGAACCCAGCCCAGCACCTGGCAGGTGGGTCCCCACCAGATGCTGAGGAATTAGAATCTCATTTCGCTCTGAGGCTCGGCCGACTGCACGGACGTTCCTGTCCGTCCTCACTTTCAGGCTGATAGGAGGTTGAGCGCCCCTGGGCCACTTCTCCTTCAGCAGGGGACCTTTTTGTTTGATTTAACTACAGGTGATCTGTCTCCTCGGCCCAAACTGTCCACTCGCATTAACGGGAGGCCTCGGTGTGCCTTTTCGTTCTCCTGTCCCCACGTCCCTTCCTCCCTATGTCCAGGAACAATAGAAGTGAAAATGCAAAAGCAGCAGCTATTTGTGGTGGCCCTCTCTGGCCGGGGGCCGTCCCACTGTCTGGTCTTAATGCTGCCCCGTCCCCCTGACCGTCAGCCACCAGAGCTGGAGTTTTTGGTAACCTGATTTCAATTTGAGTGATTCCTGTTGAGCAATTGGTCTGTAAAAGAGTCAGGCCTGCAACTTGAAATCTCTTTTAATTTCCCATTTACCGCATCAGCCCCACATTGTCTATCGTATGTGATCAGAAACTTTTTCGGTTTTTTCCCTTGTAAATTCCTGGCTACTGCCACCACTGACTTCTTACGTCATACCTGTTTTCCTCCGTAGCAGAGGGGAGTGGGATGTGTGGTGTCATGGGTCTCCCAGAGGCCCCCTGAGTCTAACTCAGCAAACACACAGGCGAAAATGCAATAGTAGAGGCAGCAGCAGTTCACGTCCAAAAAGATCCAGGGGTTTTAATGCCGTAGGTTCAACACTCGATTTGCTCAACGGCCATTTGTTCAATGATTGTCTGCTCTGGGGAAGAAATTGTCCTAGAAAATGGGGTACCAACTTGATCTGATCTGGTCCTGCTCTTGAGAAGGTGTCTTGGGATAACTGGAGTGAGAGAGGATGCACAGACACCCATCTAGCCTGGGACAAGCCCAGCAAGGGCTTTACCAAATGAGGATGCTTAGGTGGAGTCTTGAAGGACGAAGGGGAGTTTGAAGAGGCGGTAAGGGAGGAAATGGGGATTCTAGGAGGAGGGAGTGGGGTGGCTGAAGAATCAGGCTGAGGCAGGGGAAAAACGTGGCAGATTCAGAGACGTACAGGACCTTCACTCTTCCTGGTGGAGGGAGGGGTAAGCAGTGACCAGAGTCTGGAGAGGCGGGCTGGTGTGTGAGGATGGCTAAAACCAGGGTACACATGTGGATTAGGTTGCCCAGGGAAAGTGTGTGGAGTGAGAGCACACGCTAAACCAGAACCCTTGCCAACAGCAGCCCTCACGAGGTTGGGGAGGAGCCAGGAGGGGCTGCTGCGAGACAGAAGGAACTAGGCCAGGGAAGGAGGAGTTGCAGAGTGGGGTCAGCCAGGCAAAACCTGCTGCCCCAGAGAGGCAGGCAGCTTCGGCCAGGAAGTCCCTGTGGACAGGGCAGCTGAGGAACCGGGCAGCTTGATTCTCTAGTATACACTTAAGTTCCGTGGGCCGTAGAATTACCCCAAAACCGTTCACTTAGAGGGTCACAGCAGGTGATATTGACGGGAATTGTTGAGTCTGCACGCAGTAGGTGCTGCATAATTGCTTGCAGTTCCATGACAGTCCTCCTTGTGATTGGCTGCTCTGTTCCCATCTACGGTGGCATCTCGGTTTTTTCCCTCACTTTCCTTCAAGCAGGTCATCTTTTAAAATTGTAAATTGCATCTCGTCACTTCTCTGCTTAAAACCCCTTCAGGATAAAGTCAGAGCTTGTGTGGGGTCCTGGGTGCCGTGGCCCCCGAAGCTCTCTTCAGCCTGGTCCCCTACCCTCTCCCTAGCCTCAGGCCCTGACCACCCCGGCCTCCTTCCAGGTCCCCCCTCAGCCAGACCTCCTGCTGCTTAGGAGATGCCTCAGAGACCCTCCCTGCCTCACCCCGCCAACCCTGCCCACCGCCAGTTCCCCACCGGAACAGCACTTCCTCGGGGGAGTGCAGACAGTCTTCCTGCTTGCCCTGCGTCAGCCGCTGCTCCTGTAACTTCATGGACGTGTTTGTGTCCCCCGCTGCAGGGTGAGCTCTGCAAAAGCAGGGACCCTGCCTGTCCTGCCGCCCCGAGTCCCCCCTCCCCCACCCATCTGGGTTGATGTGGGCCACGGCTTGCTCAACCATCTCTGACAGCTGAATGGCTGGGCTGACCCTGTCTTCTCATCCAAGGAGGAGGCCCTCTGTGCAGTCACCCAGGTGCACCTGTCGTCCGAGCTTCAGCCAACACGCCACCTCCTCTGCGAGCTTCCTGGAGCGGCTGCCGCACCGCGCAGATGTTCCGTGTCCTTAGTTAGGAGGGATGCACCTTCTTAGGGCTCTCGGGGCACAGCAGTCTCGGAGTGTGGGTTCTTTCCCGGCTCCTGGAAAAGCCCTCGGTGTACAGTGGGTGTAGTGCCGACACCTGCCCCCGGCCAGCTTCTCGGGTGTGCGGCCAGTGCATCGCACGGGGCCCCGCGCTCAGGAGGGCCCCCGCGCTCGGTTTAACGCTCCGCCTCCGCTGTCGCCATCTTGAAATTCTTAATGACATTTGACAGGTCCCCCAATGGTTTTGCACCGGGCCCTGTACCTGCCTTGCGGGGGCGATGTGCGGGGCCACGAGAGAACCCTGGAATCTGTAGACGCCGGGGCCCAGCTCAGGGCGAGCCCGCTCTGCAGGGTCGCCTGTCACCATCTTAGCTCTGCTCACCCACAACCACAGTCAGTAACTCATTCTTCTGTTTGCTCAGCTTCATTGACTAAGTGCTGTGGTCAGAGGCATCGATCAACTGCGTCAAATCCCTCTGCAGCTGCTCCTCTCCCTCCCAGGGTTCCCGAACGCGGCCTGTCTTCAGAGGCACTGCTGGGGCTTGTCAGAGAGATTTCTGGGCTGCACCCAAGGCCCACTGAACCAGACTCCCCGGAGCTGGGACTGTGAGTCTGTATGGTTAGCAGTAGTGCCTGCATCTGTGCTGTGACGCGCAGAACGGAGCGTGAGAACCTTCGTCCAAGCGGATGAGCCCTTGGTGCGGCGTTTGGTGTCCTGTCGGTCTGGCCCCGGCTTTGTCTCCCGCAGGCAGCCTTACCCTGCAGCAGAGTCAGCTCTCCCTGACTGCCGTTGCTCCTGTCTCCTCCTGTAAGACCGGCAACCTCCTCTGAGGCAGTGTCCCCGGAAGCCCCACCCGCCTGCTTTCGTGCTCACTCAGCACGTGGTTTTTATTCTCCTCCGAGCACGTGTCCTGTCGCACAGTGGCTTGTTCCTGCTCCGTTGTCCCCCCAGCCTGAGAGCTCCTTGCAGGGGGTAGCTCACCTCTGCATCCTCAGTTCATCAGGATTGAGCCGTGGACACAGGACTCACGCTCAGCAAGGCCCCACTCCCTGGTCCAGCCAGCCAGCCGGTGGCACAGATGTTAGCTCCTCCGGGGGCCTGTGGGAACAGGCCCCGCCCAGAGTCATTCTGGGAGGTCACGCGTTTGTTGTGTGGCAAGGGCAGCATGTAGAACGTGAGCTTTCTTTATGTGATCATTACCCACCCCTCTTCCGTTTTAGAAATGACTGTGTGTGACTAGAGCTCAGGCTACTGAGCTACTTCAAACCAACCCCCAGTCACACCACGAAGAGGCAGTTGTGTTGCTTTTGTCCCCCAGACCTGTTGGGTTTTAAATGGTTTTCCTATCGTCGTAACCTTTCTTCTCGGCATTCACTAAAGGCAGCTGATGAACGCGACAAGTGGATTATGTGTTTTGATCGATACCTGCTTATGTGTGGGCAGCGTGGGCCTTAATGGCCAACGCCTGCGCCATAAAAGACGAGCTGGGTCGATGGAAGGTACTTTCTGAGCACCTACTGTGTGCTCCCACCTGAGGGGGACGTGCGGACACAGCAGTTCAGGGGAACGTGCCATTGTGGTTCTCAGTGGGCGTTCGTTTCCTGGACACACGTGGTAATAACACCTAACGCCTTCGTTCACAAAGTGCTTCCTGGGCTGTGACCCTCCACAGCCCCGCGGGACAGGAGTGGAAGCCACTGGATGGGGAATGGGACCAAGACAACAGGGCAAACCAAGTCCTGCACTCAGAGCTGAGCATCCTGGTCCCACTGGTGCACTTTGCCCAGTGGGTAGAGATCAAGATTAAATCACCCACTTCCTTGGGGCACCTGCCACGTCACTTAAGGCTTGGGAAACCCTTTCTTCCTCTTGAATGTCCTTCGCTATATGGAAAAAAGTGGCCACTGATGTCTGGAAACTTCTGAGTTCCTAGGGTGGCTCGAGCTGGTGGGGCAGCTCAAGTCCTGCTTGAGAAGGCGGAGGTCCCAGGACTGCCCGCTTCCCGGGCTCTGTGGGCTATTGGTGGCGCCTGTGCTTTCTGAGCCTTGGGGACTGCTCCGTGCACCCTGTAACCTCCTTTTTCTCCTCTGTCTTTCTCAGGCACATCTCTCTCACGCTCCCTGCTACCTTCCGAGGCAGGAACAGCACTCGGGCTGACTATGGGTACCAGCACTCCAATCTGTATGCCATATCAGGTACGTGCGGCCGCTGCGAAGGGCCAGCGATTTAGCGCGTCTGTGTCCCAGGCACCGCCTCCCTCTACGTGCTTCCTGGCTGCTAACGGCATCTGTGTGTCTTACCTCTCTTTTTACCCCTGCAGGGGGCCTGTTCCCTGCAGGGACCAGGCCTTCCCTTTCCTCTGTGTCGCCGTAGCGCTTAGTGAAGGGCCAGATCCTCAGCATGTTTTGAAACTAATGATGAAAAACAATGCGTGGATTTCACAAGCTTGAAGGGAGGTTTCCAGAGAATAGTCACCACATCGTTCACCTACCAGATCCAGGGCAGATTCCCCGCGGGGACTGGGGACCCCGCAGACCTGAGGCCTGGTGCCGCCTGCCCTCCGTATCCACGTCTGTCCTCATCGCTCATTTCTCAAAGCCAGGTCTGTGACCAGCGGGTGCGCTGGCGTCTCCCCCACCCCCGGCCCCATCGTATGAGTCTGTGATTTCTGAACTCGGCCCTGAAATGGATAGTGTTACCTTGGCAGGAACTTGGTCAGTCCTGGTTTCCTTTTTCAAAAAACTTACAAGCCTTATTACAGAATTGAGATTCATTAGGTGCCTGGCAGGGCAGGTGACTTGCTAAGAGCTGAGGAGACCCACAAACTTGACTCTGATTATACGGGGCCTCCAGTTGGGGGGCGTTTGTATATAAGGGGGAAATGGCAAATCGGTACCACTTACCAGCACATACCCTTAATGGTGAGTGATGTTTTGAACACGGGAACATGGCATTCATTCATGTACCATAATGAATCGGTTATTTGAAAGGTAATCTTTTTTCTAAAAATTGCAACTTCAGGTTACTAAACAGATGAAATAGAACAATGGTATAATTCGTGTCAGTATTAGTTTTTCTTGTTATGATCACGCCCTAATAGGTTTGGAAGTATAAGCAAAGGCCAGTCGTTCCATTTCTGGGTGGCGCTCCTGCTGGGGAAGGGGAAGGGGAAGGACGGGGATGTTCTCAAAGCCCTCATCCTGGCTTTTCTCCAGGAGCCAAGCTCCCCAGGGCAGCGGGAACGTGTTGTCGAAGAGAAGCATCTCCAGGGAGAATTTCTTTTGTGCGCTGGCTATTTCAGCAGAGTCGACAAGGAGCATAACAAGTGTGGAAAGATGACCTATTTTGTAGAAAAGCTGAATATTTCCCCAGATGCCTGGTGGCAGAGTGGTGCAAAATAGGTCTGTGAAATCCAGCAGGGCGGCCCCGTTCCCAATGCACATGAGGAGAGCTCAGTCACAGCAGATGACTTTTTTCCCCTCCAGCTCGCAAATCTTTTTCCAGCCACAGGGTTCGGCTGCCCCCACCGTACCTGGATTCTCTGATGGCTTTCCCAGCTGTTGACGTTTCTGCAGAGAAGGGCCCACAGAGTGAAATCTCCTCTGGTTTGGCAGGAATGTTCCTGTCTGCCTCTGGGCCACTGCTTCCTCGCCCCGCGGCTTTGATGAGGTGTTGTCTGGGTTCATTTCAGCTGTTAGTTTAGCAATACCGAGGTAACAGTCTCAAGACGCAGGGGAAGCCATTCAGAAACTTCCTGTTACGTTTGCGTAAGTGGCAGTCAATTGGATTTTATCTTCCAAACAGAGGTAGTCGAGGCTGTGGCCCAGGGCAGCAGGCAGCTCGGGCCTCCTTGGTGGTGGCAGCACCAGGGTGCCCCGCCAGGGTCCAGGACTGCTTTGTTGTGATGCCGCCAGGCGTGCCCTGCGGGACCCGCGGGCTCCGTAAGGCCGGCAGACTCAACACTGCGCAGTCGTGGTGCATGCAGCTGGGAGGCCTGCCCAGCGGCAGCCTGCCTGCGAGCCATTCTGGCTAAAAGGGAGCAGAAACCACGCCCCCGCCCCGTTCCAACAGTATCTGGCACTGAGTGGCATGTCTCAGTTTGGTATTGCGAAGTTAAGGTTTCAGTGGTTCACTCCAAAAACAGTCAAGGCAGCATGTGCCCCAGCCCCCAGCCCGTGCACAGTGCCCAAAGCCATGATGTCTGGCGCTCTGCTGGTAGTGGAACGAATCCCCAAACTGTTCTCCTCCCGAAGCAGCTCTGGCACACGTTCGCAGCGGGCGTCAGGCACTGAGCCTTTGGTGCGAACTCCTGGCCGACTCTGGTTCATTCCTGAAACCATCTGATCACTGCGCCCCTTGCTTGCGGTCCCTTCCTAAGATACGTAGGTTTCCAAACAATGTTATTAGAAGTTTGAAGAGCAGCCCACATTTAATTGGTACGTATGGTTATTAAAGTAATATATACTTTTAAGTGTTTTCCCAAGGGCATACCTGTTTTCCCAAGGGCTTATATTCCTTCTGTACCTTTCACTGAGACAGTTCATCCCTGTCCTGCCTGCAGAGGGAGAGACACTGCTCAGAGCTGCTGAGAGACCGGTGGACACAGCATGTAGCTCTGTCCCCAGCACACAGAGGTGCTCGTGAAATGGTTGTGGAAGGAAGTGGGGAGGAAGGAAAGCATTTAGCCTAGTGTCTGCCTTGCCTGGGAGTACCCTCTATGACCTCCGGGGCAGGTGATCGTCCTGATTTGCTGCTCCAACCCTATAGTGTCTGGGCCACCATCTCTGAGCAGCCCAGCCCATCTCTGCGCGGTGCTCCCGTGTTCAGCGGGGCTGTCTTACGGTATGTTCATATCCCTCCAGCCATCTGGGGTACCACGCGTCCCGTCAGCATTGCATGCCGACTGTTCTGCACTGTCCAGCCAGTGGGTAGTTCTCTCTTGCCCACAGGATTGGGGTGAGGAACATCGTGCTGAAATCCTGAGAAGCTTATTCCCTTCTCTGCCATCTTGTACCCTCATCAGAATGGCCATGAAGCACACCTTTGATCCTCACACCTCCTCTTCCAGGAATTTCTTCTGGAAAATACAAGATGTGCAAAAAGATTTATCCACAAGGGCGAGCACTGCTGCTTTTTAAATATAATACCCAAAAAAGGGGTGGGGGGGTGGATATCATAAATGTCTAAAATAAAAGCAAGTGGTTAAATTATGAAACATCCATACAGTGGCCTTAACTTTTCAAGCATCAGAAACAGTTCTGATTTAGATAAAAAGATGTGCATGAATGCTGTTAAGTGACAGCCAGGACGTGCAGTGTGATCTCGTTTTAAGAAGTATATCTAAAGGTCTGGGAAGGTACATGCCAAGGTGTTTATAGTGGTTTTCACTGGATTTTCCTGCTCTCCTTTCTGTTTCTTTGCGGTGTCTCCTTTTTCTGTGATCGCACATATTGCGCTCGAAAGAAGAAACAACATAGGACCGATGTTAACTTGTCACGCTCTTGGGAAGCCTTGCAGATTCCAGTGATCACCGTCTTTTCTGAGTGCTCACAAGTCTTTTGACTCATCATATGCTTTCAAATTCTAGTGGATATCACTTCCAGGCCACAGATCAATAACTGTCTTATTATCCCTTTTTGAGGACATGATTTTTTTCTGTTGTTCAGTCCCCTGGAACCTCCTGTCCACTGATGTTCCTCAGAGACCACTGACTTATCTTTTGTGCCCAGTGGCCCCCCAGACACCGACTGAGCTTGAAAGCACCAGGCTGCTCACCTTTCTTGCCCCTCAAATTCCCCATCACCATGTTATTCACTCCTTAGGGTTTGAGGATGGTTTTCTTTGAAAGAGTAGATGAAATAAAATGGTGGGCACCTGGTTTGTCTCACTCTGTAACCTGCATATAGTAGGGTTGGCAAACCACTGTTTAAATTGTCCTTACTTGTGATAAGTGGCAGCTCATGGGCTCATTCTTTCCTGGCGATGTTCTTATCGGTGTGTCTCCCTCAGTTACACGCCCTTAAGATCTTCTCCTGGGAGGACTTGCTGCAGGGCCATGTTGATTTCTCTAGATTCTGTCCCAAAGCCCCAGTTCCTAAGTTTCCTTGTCAGAACTTTTAGTGGCTGTTAGTTTTCTTTTAAAGAATATCTTCTCTCTCCTGAACATCTTTTACTTTAGTCCCAGATGATGGTATCCTCCCTTTTTGTTTCCTTATAATTTTTTTAGATGTTTAGGTGTCTGACCGTTTGCTCATTTCTCTTCCACCTATTCCAGAAAGATTTAAGGTAGCTGCAAAAATGCATGTAACAAAGTGAAAACGGAAGGGGAAAAGTAGGAGTGAATGAAAATACAGGATAGCAAAGTAGGGTGCAGCTGTGGGTGAGGCTTTGCATGAAGCAGAGATTCTGGATTTGGTTCTGAGTCAACAGTTCCTTACGGACAACCTAAAAATAAGCTGGTTGTTCGAGGAGAGCCTAACTATTCCTTTTGTGAATTTTTCTTCGTACAGAGGGCCCTGTAAGGTGCTGGGAACAGCCGCCTTTCCGTGAGTTTGATAAGGACAGACTGTATGCCCGTGTGAGGCAGATCCACTCATGTTTGAACCCCTAAAATGTTTGGAAGTTGAGTAAGATGTTTCTTTAAGAAATGCTCTTGTGCTGGGTGTCCTGTGCCTTAGAGGCTGGGGACCTCGGGGGACGTCAGGAAAGGGGAGATCCCCAACGTCCTGTCCAACCTGAGGGCCACCTGTGCCGAGGGTCCCTGTAACAAGCAGCTCAGCCCAGAGGCACCAGGATTGTTTTTTCCAACCTAGGAATGTCTTGTCAGCCACGAGGCAGGTTTTACTTAAGGAACAGGTGACAGTAGGTATGGGACACTACGCTGTAAGAGTCTTGTTTTTGTGGTGGTTATAAACTGATTTATAGCGCCATGTAAAGAATTTTTACCAAAGAACTTGTTTTTCTCCGTTTTGAAAAAAACTGACACAGTCGTATAGATTAGTACAGTAATAAAGCAGAGGCATATTAAAACCAGCATGTAATAAAACCAAACATCTCCAGCTCAGCCCACAGTTTCAGGATGAGCCACGTGCAGAAATGCGCTGAGGCCTCGTGGTGCAGGGAAGCACCTTTTAGCGCCTGACATCTTCATCTGTCCGTCAGCACCAGGCTGACCACGTGACTTATTTTCCACTTCGTCACTTTTGAGAGTGAAAGGGGCACAGAGTTGCATCAGGACAAAGCCGGAACCTGGAACCGACCCGGCAGACAGGGGCTGTGGTCACCTTGCCTTTAGTTTTTCTGTTTTCTTCAGGTTTTTTTTTGTTTCTGTTTTTGTTTCTGCTTTTGTTTTTTGATTGCTGGAAAAGCCAGCTTATTGCCCTGCACAGCTGTTGCCTCTTAAAAACCAGTCCCTTTTCAAGATGTTTGACATCAGGAAGCGTGTGAGAGTGGACAAGCTGGAGTCCATCGGCCAGCAGTTCAGCCACGACACTCGTGCAGAGAGAAGGAGAATTTTATCTGAAACACAGAACCCCGTACGAGCCGTGTAACTCTGACATCAGACCGGGAAAGCGCAAAGCAATTAAAAATAATTAATGATTTCTGAATATCAGCCTTCTCCATGCAGTTTTAATCTAGTCCTCATTTAAATTGGAAGATGGACATTTAATTATCAGTATTATGAAATTCATGATTTATATATTTCATCCAACTGGATAAAATTTCTGCCATCAGCCCTTCATCTTATTATGAAAGAAAATCTGTATATTTCACAGTGTGATCATTTAAAAACTCATCTGCAGCATACCCAACAACTGCAAACATATTTTCCTTTCATTTCTGATGATTACATTATTTCTGTCTTTTAATTAGGAAAAAAAAAATCTCACCTGGAATATCGGAAATAAACTTAATACTGTCATGGTCATAAAGCACTGCCGGGTCAGAAAATGAAGAGACCAAAGGACTAAAACAATAGGGTGTGTGAGAAATGCTGTTCTTTTCTGTGTAAGGTGTTCTAACAGACAGCTGCTCCACATGTCACGTTTATGCTGCAGAGTTTGCATGGGGAGTGAGTGTGTGTGTGTGTGTGTGTGTGTGTGTGTGTGTGTGTGTGTTTCTCCTTTTCCCATGCATGTGGGTGAGTGTCAGCCTGCGATTGGGTTGACAACCTCATAGGAGGGGAAGGGCCGCCAGCTTCTAGTGGGAGCCCCGGAGTAATGTGAATCGCCCTCTGCATTCGCAGGTACCCCTGTGGCCTCTGTCATTAATGGACATGTTCACGCGGCTTTTGTGGCCTTGAACTTCAGACCCCTCCTTTCCTTTATCCTCCGATGAGGATTTTCAGACTCACCTAGGACTGGTTGGAGAGGTGGGGGGTGAGCACGTGGGAGGGTGGCAGGGATCCGCGGGAGGAACGTCAGTTTGATGCAGGCCCAGATTATAGCATATGGGGAAAATTCCTCAACGAAGTGAAAAAATATTTATAATAACGGTGCTCAAGTCAAGGAGGAAATAAGTCCTTTTAAAGACATATAAATTTTTATCATCCCCTCTAACAGCCATTGCGTCCCTTGCCTATCCATCTATTCCTGCCCTGACAAAAAAGGAAAATAGAATAAGAAAAAGCAGAAATGAATGGGAGTGGGTGGGCACTTTATTGCATAGTGTATCTGTACATCCTGACGTAAAGGTGCGGGTGACAGGTGGCCAGGTTTGCTCTGTACACAACCATGTGTGTGCTGTCAGGCGCTCACACGCTGCCTTGTTTCGATTGATGAATTGCCTGCTTTCTTGATTAAACCTTCCGTCACTTAAGAAACAAAAAGCCTGTGTTTAGATGGCAGAGTGGGACACGTCAAAAAAATCTGTCTCCTTTACCTTTGTGCAGATGTTGGGCACAGACTGTAACATGTATTATTAAAATGAATGTGGCATTTACTGTGCATTATTCCTTTCCTGGGAGAAAGGACTGTAAATTATATGCTAATAATAAGCTTTAACCCTTTCGAAATGCGAAAGATTCAAGAGTGCAAATATTCATGGAGGCCTGGCTAATTGGACGTGCTTTCATACAGCCACCGTGGTCACTGGAGTTAATGAACGGTTTGTGCGGGCAGACACGCAGGGCACTTGGGAACTCGAGGTGCTCCGCTCTGCAAGTGCCTCTGCTAGGATTTTGCGGAGAGAGACCCTGAAACCCCTTGGCTGGGCTCTGGGTCACCTTACGACAGATGAGGTCCAGAGCCATGTCCAGTTCCCCCGGCGCATCTTCTGGACCTGAGCATCAGGCATGGTCCTCTGGTGTTCTCCTGTGTCCCCGCTTACGGGGCTGGCTGGGCTCGGGCCCGGCAGGTACCAGGTGTTGGTGCCTCGCACTTCCTGGACCTGGCTTATCAGTCCTCAGTCCAGTTGCCCAGGTGGCAGACTCATGTCCCCAAAGCACAGCCTCTCAGATCAGACCTTGCGTTCTTTCATACCTCACCTGCCTGGCGTTGGGGCTGTCAGTGGCCAGTCTCCACCTGTCCGGCGTCCCTTCCTCTGTGCCCAGCAGCCGAGGTCGCTCCCCGTGTCCTCATCTTTGTGTCTTTCTGTGCATCTGCCCCTGCCAGTCCCGTGGCCCAGGTGGCCCCATCGTCTCTTCTCCTTTCCTCTGCTGACCCATGCTTGAAGCCCTGCTCCTACACTACCTCTTCATGAAGCTTGTCTGCGTCCCTTCCAGTTGGGGCTGCTGGTCTCCTCCCACACTGCTTTGTGTTAGAGCGATCTCACCTGGGAGCACTCTGAGGCAGCAGAGGCTATGTTTAGAAGAGACGATGGAGGCTGTCTTCAATCCTTTTTGAATCCATGCGGTTGTAATTAAAGGCAAAGAGACCAGAACGACTGTTCACTTCCCTGTTCATTCAGCAGACAGCGCTGCCGTGTGCCAGGCCCCGTGTTCCCTCTTCGAGGGAAGCGTGGGGAAGAAGGTTCAGCATGTGACTGACGGGGCGTTTGGGGTCAGAAGCACGTGGGGCCATCGCACAGAGCCACTGTGAATGGCCGCACTGCACGACGCACGTGAATGGCTCCTGGCTGGAGCTGTGCAAGGGCCCTGCGTTACGTTACCCTGGGCAGGTCACTCAATGCTAGTTATTCACCCCTGGAAAATAATACAGTAACCGCCCACTAGCTTCCCAGGATTGCTGAGAGGATCCAGGATATAGAAGAGTGTGTTATAAATCAGGAGGCAGTGCGGGAACGTCACTTCCCTCCCTACTCGCCTCCCCTGCAGGGCTGTGATCAGAGTCGGAGCCCAAAGGTTGGATGAGGATTGCCGCTCAGGACACACTGGCTCATCTTGGCCCCGCGCTCCCTTGTATGATTTTATCTGTGAGATTTTACTTCTCAGCAGTCAGAGCGCTCTGAGTGCTCAGCGAAAACATCTTCCTCAGGCCAGAGAAACTTGCAGCAAAGGCTCTGGCAGGGCTCGGCTCGGCACCCCCTGGAAACCGAGGCCCACTGTCACGCATCGTCACTTAGACGTTGGCAGCTCTCCGTGCCAGGCAGCCCATGAACCCTTCTCGGGAAGGTGACAGGATGCTGGCTTGAGGGCAGGAAGGAAAGACGCCCTTGGCAGAGTGAGCTGGCGACTTTCCATAAAATCTTCCAACGTGCCTTTGGTGTCTTTGGAGGAAAAGTGCTGCTGGGCTGGCCGCCTTCCGCTCCAGGCCTTCATTTCTGCTTTTCCTGTGCTCCACCGGCAGGAGAAAGTTACGACTTCTTCCAGTTTCGTCATCGTGAAAAATAAAAATATTATTAGGTGACAGATACTTCAGTGCTCTTAAAAGGTGGCCACGCCCTGCTGTGCCTTCAGTCTCGCTTCGGTTTTTAGGCACGGCGGAGTGTAGGCGGCGTTGGTTTAATGGGCCACGTCCCCCTCTTAAATCCTCGAGTGAGGCAGCGGAGAGGCAGTGGGAAGAGCCGGGTGCAGGCCCAGCCTCTCCTGCTGGCTAGCCCAGTGATGGCAGGCTCGGCACCACGCGTTTCTGGATCTAAATGCCCACGTCTCTCGACATCAGTAATTGTAATAACAACATCAGTGATTCAAATGTAACTGTAGTTCAGCTAATACTTTTTGGAAGTTTCCTCTGTGTCAACCACTGTCTAGTATCTAAGGTAGGGGTGGTAACACCCACCTCCCAGGGCTGGGGTTGTGTGGGAAGGAGCCTGTGTGTTTTTCGGGTTGGGATACCTGAGTTGTTACTAGCAAATGTGTACTTACTCCAGACTTCAGAGAAATTCCATCCAAACGCTGTCTTGACTATAAACTTCCCAGACACGGACAGTTAGAGAAAAACCAACTTTCTGACACCTTTCTCCCTGCATGCTTACCTTCTTTGTCTAGTTTTTAAGCAGAAATATGCCTCCATTTCCCCATCGTAATTCCCTTCCTGGCAGGCAGCGTGATTGTGGTCCTTTCTGAAGGCCTAGCCAGAGAAATGCTGAAAACAAAGGGAAGACGCTTAATCCCAGCTCTTCATCTGCTCTTAGCACTTCTTCAGAGGTTTTCTCTGGGGCGAATGAAGTCGTCAGGTTTACCGAACACTCCTGCCTAGGAGCAGCTTATATCGGATTAGCCCTTTGTTCCTTTTTCTATCTCTGTCTCTCCCTGTGTCGCAATAATAGACTGTCAGCTGAGAGGGGGAAATGATACAATTAAGGGAAATTCTTTAAACACATTGAGGGAGCTGAAGTTGTTTTTGCTTTTATTAAAATGGATTGCATTCATTTATTTTAATAATACCTAGCCTTCTTCTAGCACTTACTGTGTACAGACTCTGGAGTAAGCCCTTTCCATGCGTTCCCAACAAATCCTTGCCAAGAAAACCTTCAGGATTTGTACTGTTACCACTACTGTCCCTATTTTACAGATACAGCACAGCTGCCAGCGTTGCTGAGTTCCTACGTTCAAGCCTTGTTTCAAGCCGCATAAAATAAGTATCTTTATTTTACAGGTGGAGAAATTGAGGTTTGAGAGAGTGATTTGCCCCCAGTTACACTGCCAGTGAGCGGGAGGGCTGAGATTCAAGCCCATCCAGACCCTAAGTTCCCAGCCCCCGCCTGGAGGACGCTCCTTCTGGCTGTGGACCATTTCCCTGCCTTTGTCAACTGAAGTTGGAAGGACCCACACACCCAGAGTGGCTCACGGTTTATTAGGTCTCAGTGTTGTTTCAACCTCAGATGGTCCCCGGCCCCTCATCTCTGGGACCGCATCAGAGTGAGGCCTTTGATCCTTGACTGGCAATGACCCCCCAGTCCGCAGGGCACTGCCAAGAGCGGTGTGGCTCCTATTGGCCATTGCTGGGCAGAACGGTGAAGAGGTGAGCACACAGCCCCTCACTTGAAGCTGAGTGACCTTAGGCAAGCGGGTTCACCTTTCTGGGCCTCAGTTTCCTTGTCTGTTAAATGGGAATGGCAGTGGTTTGTAGTGAAGATTAGAACCGTGCCTGGTACGTGGAAGGTGCTATAGATGTGTTGATTATGATTGTAATTATTCCACAGCACCTCCCTCCCACCCCTTCTCAGATTCTTTTCCAACCAGGAAAGGGAATACTCCAGATGCTTCAAGGAACCTCCTCTCCATCAGTAGGCAAGGCTACTGCTGGTCTTGTGTCAGAGACGGAGACCTTTGTCGGGGGGTGGGGTGGGGTGCGGAGCTCTGGGCACCTGGATGTCCCCTTGCTGTGGCCTTCCATCAGCCCTGTGGTGGCAGTGGGCAGCGCAAACAGACCATTTCACACCTTGGGACTGAAGTGTAGGCGTCTTCTTGCCCTGTCCCAACTTCCCGGACCCTGCCCACAATAGGCCTCTTATTTGAACTGACAGTCACCTCAGTGCCATCCGCTTTGAAGCTTCGTTCTCTAGATTGGGCCTCCTAAGGTGCCAGCCTCTGCTGAGGTCACTGAGCCATTCCAGACCCTGTGCGACCCTCTCCTGAGCTCCTGGTCGCAGCTCCCGTCCTGCTGGCCCCACTGCCTAGGTTCTCCTGCTCTCCCGCGTGGCCCAGCTCCCAGGCTCCAGCCTGGCTGACTTATGACGGTAGTCACAGGGGATCAGCTTCTAGGTGAGCGTCTTTAAACTTAGTGAGTAAAGGTGTGGGCGTCGGCAGAACTCAGGGAGAGGTTGGATGGCTGTACGGAATTCGGTGATGAGATCAGGAGTTATCCTCTCTGTCCGTCACACAGGATGTCAGGACGAATGCATTTAACTGCTAACATTAGGACAAAAGACAGTCTGATCTGTTTTGTAGCAGTGAAGCCACCTTCCCTCTGGACAGAATACCTGAATCCATCCATTTTTGTGCAGTTGGTGTTTGTGTCCTGAATACCCAATGCTTTCTTCCCTCTTTTTATAAATGGCCGGTGGTGGTCTTAACCTTTTATGTTTAAAAACACAGTCTTCACTGCTCCAGCCTAGGGTTTGGACAGGATGTATTTATCACACACCCCGGAGAACGAGGCTCCTTACTCCTCAGATTTGTGTTTCGATCGTCTCAGACGGTGAGTGAGGCAGAACTGTCCTCCAAGCTTGAGATCCTTTGTTTAGAGCAGTTTCTCGCGCCTGGCTTGTTTCACAGTGTGAACGATCTCATGATCCACTGGCGAGGCAACGTCCATAATGTTGAAGGAGAGAGGAAAGCGTGCCTCGTTGGCCCCAAGCATTGCTCCTGGTGACACGCTTAGAAGCACTTAATCGCCTCCTATCTGGAGGCCATAAACGCACCCATCTTTCTGTTCCGTTGCCTCCTGTGTTTACCTTACATATGCCCTGTGCTAACAAAATGTCAGTGTCACTCCTGTCAGGGGGTCCTTTGGCTCACGAATTACACAGGCCCTCCTCACCCTTCTTCTGCCAAAGGTGGTTGGACCTTGTATAGGCCCAGCGTGGGCAGCTTCTTCGGCCGTAAGCCTCTTGGCTATTCATGCTGCTTGTAAGCTTTGGCCGTCTGACGGGTTTCCCGGTTCTAATAAGGGCGACCTGTCTTTCGTTACGACGTCTTGTTCAGTGCTCAGTTCTCTGCTGGAGTCCAGGGTCCGTCCCAGGAGGTTAGGACCACGCGCCCCATTCACTGGTGTGCGTCCAAGCAGGGCCCGGCCCGCGGGAGGCGCTCGGTGATATTGGTCGTCGGATTGCTTCTTGAAATCCACCCTTTGTATCCGCCCTTCCCAGCTGCGTGACTTTGGACAATTTGTGTAACATTTCATTCGTCTCCTCTTCTGAATCTTGAGGATTAGGGATCATGGATGTGAAGTGCCTTGTGCTGAGCGGGCCCCGCAGAGATGGCAGCTGAATGGCTGTCGCAGACACTGTCGTTCCAGGGAGCGCTGGGCTTAGTCACCTGCAGTAAGACCCCCACCTCCACCCCGCCTAAAATACCATCAGGAGGGGCAGCTGGTCCACTAGGCAGGGCCAGAGGAGAACTCACAGCTCACACCTGGAGGGACCCTGCCCAGTTCAGGGGGCTTCTTGGTGTCATATAAGACCAACCCCCCATCCTAGCTCAGAAATGGGTAATTGCATGAGATGTAAGTTTGTTACTGGGTAAAACAATTTAAAAGAGAACATCTCAACATTTAAATGAGCCTCCAGTTTTCCCCTTCCCTTCTCATCGAATCAGCTCCGACTGAGAAAGGAGCATATCCGTGCTCAGCCCTCTAAACACTTTGACTTCTTTCTTCTTTGCCTTTTGGTTTGTGGCTCTTTCTTTCCTGCCCCTGTCATCCCAGGACCCTTGAGCCAGAGTCCTTACGTAACTGTGAGCCAGGACTTGCTTTCAGGGTCCATGAGAGTCACGCCACCCACCGAGCACATCATGAAGGCTTCGCTGCGCTCCAGAGCTGCTGCCAGGCCGGGTGCCGGCTCCAGGGCTTGTGCCGAGGGCTGGCTCGGCAGCCACAGGACACACCATGCACTGAAGACGATCTTTCTTGGGGTTTGGGAGAACAGTTTAAACAACTTTCTTAGATGTCCCCATCTTAGGGGAGGAAGCCAGGGTATCTATCGATGCTAAGGGACTGCTCCTTTCTTCAGACTACATTTTTTTTAAAAGATATTGTATCTTTTATTTGGATTTAATGAGGACAGACATTTTAATCAGAGGTTAGTCATTTATTTTTGCAAACTATTGTTTTGATTCATCATTTTTGCAGATAATTAAATGGTTCAGTTGGCACAGTGTGTCTACTTTATTAAAACAGGTAATTTTGGGAAAAAAGAGAGAGAGATGCTATTTTTTGGATCACTGCACAAGAATTGCTTTTATCTTCATCTTTGAGCATAGTTTCTGGTTGTTTTGCCAAAAGGCTCTCTCACGTTCAAGCATTTGGTGTCCTCTCTGGTCTGGGGGGGGCTTGCCCTTGAATGATTGGGGTGTTAGCCTCTATGCCCTTTGAACCGGGAGGTGAAGCATAAATTCTGTGCTGTTACCTTTTAGAAAGACTCTTAGGTTTTAATTGGATTGGGGAAAAGAGCCTACAAGTTATGAACTTTGCAGAGCAGCAGTTTTTATGCTAAAAACAGATTAATTGTAGCCCTCGCAGTGGGTGGAGTTTAAAAGTCAATTACTGCTTGTCCTATTATAATTTACACACCTAGGATTTGAAAAAGTCTGTCACTTGGTATAAAAATGAAAAGGTTACGTGTACTGGTTTGAGTATTCCTGTGACTTTTCATTTGTAAATGCTTTAACTACACATATTTGTGTGTGTGCAACTTGTAGCTGCGGAGTTCTAATACTACTACAGCCGTGAGCAGGATTCTTCAGGAAGAGTAACCTTTAAGATTTCATTCTTTACATCCGTAACCGCTTGGAATATAGTCCTTTGTCTGGCGGTTCATTCCACTTGTAGGCACCGTGGCAGCCCCTGCAGGGCCTTGGGGACACTCCACTCCCGGGTCATGAACCAGTGAGGGACGGCCCTTCAGGGGTCAGTTTTTTAAAAACAAATTGCTCACGACGTTTGCCTTCTTTGATTTGCCCATGTTTGCATCCTGAATCCGTTAATTCACTCATTGAATTTTATTTATTTTATTTTAGGATTATTTTAGGATTTATTTTAGGTGGACCAATTAAAACTTCGGAAGCTAATTTTTTGCTGAGTAGCGTGGACCTCTGGAAGCACAGTTTATAATACAGCTTCTGCCCTTTCCCACCGAGAGCTGTCTGATCGTGCTGCAATCCCTGGTGCTCAGAGTACAGAACCACTGTCCTTTGTCCTCCCGTCCCGGGAAGCTGCTGTGTGGGTGGGTGTCTCCGGGCCTCCGTTGTTTTATGGGGAACTGGCAAGTCTGAAAAGCCCAGCCCAGCCCGGGAGTGGCTCGCACGATTTGTTTCCTTGCATAAACCCCATAGTTTAATATTTTTTAATAGGAAGCTGCTGTGTAGTTGGGATATTTAAACAGTTATTAACCGAATGACAATTAACAGATTGCATAGACAGATTTTCTTTTGAAAACCTCTGAAATTGAGTACAGTTTGCAAAACTATCACGACCTAGTAATGACAATGAATTTTGATTTCCCGGAACTGATATTAGACTCCTTATTAAACTATGTGCATCTGCTTTTAATTTACTCCAAATAATTGGAAAATGCAATGAAGCTTTCCAATTAAAGCACGGCTTTATGCTGTTTAATAATACCCCCATAATATTATAGCTTATGAAGTGACAGGTGAGTTGGTGTATGAATAAAACATAAAGCCAGCAATAAGGGACAGAAAACCGGAGACAGTTGTGGGGATTTTAAATGCTGGATGTAATTTGCATATATTAATCTCTTCTTTTCAGCCTTATCAGGCGTTCTTCAGTATTTGAAGTTAAAATAGCGTTGACAGGCGGGAGTACGCTTAGTTTTTTCAAGGATTTATTACTTGTATAATTTCTGATCTTTAATAAGCAGATATGACTGATCCTCATAGTTCTATAGAACTTGGTTAATTGTTCCAGATGGCGTGTACTGATTATGCAAAATTACTTTTCACACCATTTTTTTTGTGATGGAGTTTGGAGTAAAATTAAATTTTTTATAGCCTTCTTATCATGCTGTTTTACAGTGGTTTTTCCACAGAAGTTGAATTTAATCTACTATATTACATTGACCAGCACAGTTATTCTAATGTAGCATTTTGTGATTTGACAAAGAATAATAGAACACATTGCTCATTGTTCATTACTGTGTCCCTAATAAAAAGGAGCTCCTGTGTATAGCACATAGCTGTTATTTATGAAGAATGCCTAATTCATACAGTTAAAAATGCAAAATTGTACCATGTCGTAGTTCCTTTTGGGGAGAGAATATCTGGGAGAAGCAAATGGAAACAGGCTTGTTGCCACAGATTTTACATGCTGGAGGAGGGGTCTTCTTTTAATGACCAGAGTGTTTAAATTGTGCTACTTTCTTCTTCTGTGAAGGAGAAAAAAAAAGCCGAGATAATCTCATTCTATTAAGAGAGGTGTCACCAGTTGACTTGTCTGGATTTACATAATCCCAGAAGTCTTTCATAATTGAATAGCATATATAAAAGGTGGTTATACTCTGGTATAAAGTATCCAAAAAAAAGTCTAAAAAGCTCCAATGATAATTCGTCTCTTAACGTTTTCTACAGCGTTAATTTTTGCAAAGCATCTTGGCGCTGGTGTCAGATCCAAGTCCAGGCTCTGCGTGCTACCGGGTGACATTAATCTAGGCTTATCCCTGTCCAGGTTCTCAGATAACATTCTCTCTACAGTTCAGCTGGTAGTGGGATATGATGGACTCAACAGATGCACCCCAAAATGAGATTGTAAGGCTCTTATCTTGATACAGGGGTAGATGCAGTTTCTTTCCTTTGGGAGAACTCCCAAGAGCAGGGGGAAGCGGATAGATTTTTCTGTTGCATGAAGAATCCTGTTTGGGTGCATAGTATTTTAAATACAGTACATAAAGAAGAAAAGCATTTCTAATGGATATAATCTGAAGTTTGACTTGTTTTCAAGAGGCCGCTGGGTAATAAGTCTTATCAGGATTTTTATAGACTCGGGATATACATTTCTATTTCAGATGGAGTAGAATCCCTCATACAGAGAGACTCGCAGATCTTTCTGTGGCCCGACTGCTTGCTCTGGGCAGTTAGTTCAGTTCTGGGCATCAGCACCTCACACCCACCGCCGTCCTCCCGCAGGCCCTGAGAATGCTTCCTTGTTTGAACAGACTTGAGGTGGATTTGGATCTGTTTAAAAGGTTCAATCCCCTTAACCCTGGGGGAATCAAACTTTTTAAAAAAATATCCTTCTACTAGCAACACTGATTGCTCTTCACAGCGAGGGCCCCGGAGTAGAAGCAGGACTTCACTGATGCCTCCATGACAGGCTCAAGGGAAACAGACAAACAGAAGGTTGCAGACCTCAGAGGTCAGAGGACGTCTGTCCAGCTGTCTGCTGAGGGTGGGAGCACACGGTGCGGGGCAGGGGTGCTGTCTGGGAGCGTGGGCTCTGCAGAGGGCCCAGGAAAACAGATTCAGTTAGCTGCCCAGATGTTACCACTGCCAGTGTTGTGTAGATTGTACTGTATTCTGGTCTTCAAAATATTTTCGGTTAAGGTCTACTTTGTATCTAGTCTAGTTGCGAAGGAAGTTAAATGGTAAGGTAAATATATTTGGCTGCCTGTAGTACTGGAATGACTAATTAAACCAAGCATAAAGAAATGTGATTTGGAGCCCAGAGCGCTTTCAATAAGCAGTACTAACTAAATTCTGTATTTGCTGTACCTCCAGAGTACTTCAAACGCTTCAAACCTTTCGCATGCCCTCTTTTGTAAACTCAAAATGTATTTTGTGAAAATGAAAATTATATGAGAAAGAGAATGCATAAATCAGACATGATTAAAAATATTTGTTCTAACGCAGCAATAATTTCGTAGTAATGCTTTCATCAGTATAGCTTAAGGCTACATTAAGTGGACAGACTTTATATGGGTTCTCTAATTTTAATCTTCAAAATGCTATCTAATGTCTCATTAAGACTTGCATATAATGTATCTTAAGTACAGTCATTAAATATAGTTTAGGGAGATTTATGTTCAGATATTGCTTAAAGATGTTTTAATAGGCCCATTTACTCTGATGATATTAATGAGCTCTTAATACAGACTAAGCTTCTAAAACTAATGGTAACGACTCCAGCCTGAACACAACAATTTGGGCTTAGAACCTGGTTTGCACAAGAGCCCCCAGGTCAGCCCTGCTGACACGCAGAGTCAGGGCAGACCCTCTGTGGAGCCTTAAGTTTTGGAAAACAGTCTCCCCTGACTTGGTCTGACTGCTGACCCAGACGACTCCCTCCTTCTGCCAGCCCTGAGCACAGCCCCACACCGTGCACAGGACATGTGCTAATTTGGCCAAATCGTCTGTCTCCAAGGTCATCTGAGTGGCGTCGACGCCCTTGGCGGTATCGTTGGGGCACGGGAGGGTTAAAGTGGGCTGTTGCTGTGCTTCTCCTGGAAGCATCTGCCAGGTGAGGTGTGCACAGCCTGGCAGCGTTACGTGAACAGCTTCGATCTGCCGTAAGTGAACTGTAAAAGGTCGCGTGGGTGTGCTTTCGTAGGCATTCCTAGTGACTGAAATATACATAATAAAGTGGTCCTGCAAATTCAAAATTGGAAAGAAAAACCCAGCCCACCAGAGTCTCTGTGTGCCCCGCGCTTGTGCACAGTCATTCCCCAGGCCCCACTTCCAGGCGTGTCACAAAAAAATCTCTGTTGGTATTTCTTTTTCTTTCAGAGAAATGTTGAAAAGCACTTTTTTTTGGGGGGGGAGGTGGTTTACAATTATTTTAGGGGAAGAAAAAAAAAGAACCTATGAGTTCAGAGACTTTTCTAATTACTAAATTGGTTTGTTATAAAAAGATAATAGCAAATTTCTTCTTTTCATAATTGGACATTTCTTCCCTGTAGGCTAATGCATGCACGGCCCCTGCGTGCACAATAAGTTGTGCTTCTGAAAAGCCATAACTAGCTAATAACAGCTACAGTGTCATCAGAGAGTAATGGTGTGCTGATTAGCATAATTAATGACAAATGGTGGTGCAGAATTGGTGGATTGGTTTAGCGGATGATGAATGCGGCGAGGCCTGGGCTGGGACCTGCCAGCTAGGCCTCGCTGGCTGTCAGCCCTTCTGTTCTCGCGGAGGCAGCCCTCATTAGTCACGATGGGAGGTGCCAGTTTGTATTCTGTTTGGAGCACAGAAAACTTAATAATCCAAGCAAATGTGGCTTTCCCATTTTCCTCTGTTTTTACTCCCAAAACTCTCTTCTCGCCCGTTCCCACTGTGGCTGGTCCATGAGCACACAGGTCCTTCGAGACGCTGCCCTGATCCTTGAAGGGGGAACACAAGGTAGCGTAGTGGAGGGACACGTGTTGCCCGGCTCTCCTCTGACCATAGATGAATTACTTCTGCTAGGAGGACTTCTGCTTGTGACTCTGTTTATCTGGGTATTTATAAGGGGAAAAGAAATGAACTGGGTAAGCTATACATTCTGTCCTGAAATCAGACGAGCACATTTATCTTTGAGTTGATTAATCAGACCTAATTTGCATTCTCAAATGAGACTGATAAAAATGGATTTACCTTTTAACCTTTAGAGGGGAAAAGTATTTCTCTGCAAGGTTTCTAGGGCTATCTTTCCTTAACTGATAAGAAGCCACTCCTTTATCAATAAAGATGAAAATGCTTAATTTGCGTTAGTGAATGAGACTAATTATTATATAGTTAATTAGCATCTGGAAATGAGGATTATCTTAATTACAAAGCACAATTTCCCTAACAGCTACAAAACTGTAAGTTTGATCCGTGTGGAAATTGGTAACTGTTATTATGTAATTAGTGATAACATTAATAGTACAGAGTATTTAGACGTCATTTGCATATGCAAATGTAATTTACCTGAGCCAAGCAATTGGACCATTAATTATTAGAACGTGACAGAGCTGAGTGAAAGTTCTAGATAGCTAAATGGTATCCATTATGCAGAGA